ATCCGATAACGGATATGGCACAAGAAGAAGACACCATTAAAAGTCTACCCCTCTATCTTGTCTGGGCAGGAAAACCCGAATTTCTCTTTCCTCTCTTTATCCTACAAGGATCAAAGTTATTTGGTGGTCAGATGGGGCCAGGCCACTTGAGAACGGCTTGTTAGGAGAGAAAATTGTGCTGGTTGTCTTTCCTTTGCGGGAAAAGAAATCTCACCGTTATACTTCCCAAAACCAAAAGGTGGCGCTGCCTTTGCCTTCAGAAGTTGTGGGTGCTCCATCGTTGGAGGACTGCGAGAAGAGACCGGACAACCATTAGTCTGGAATGATAATGTCAGCTCTGCAACAAATTGAAACCGTGTGTTCACTTCGTTTCCGGTTGCCCCGTTTTTAGAAGGGAAAGGAGGGAGAGAAGTGTAGTTTTTGAGTTAGCCAAAACAGTTTGTAGGTATGGGAACCAAGGTCATTTACTGATTACCGTTTGGCGGATTAGAGGTTTGGGAGGAGCGCCCGCGTTTGGCAACAATGGATGAATGTGATCTATGACATTTAATTGGGGTGGGAATTGTCGCTTTGCAACTTTGTAACCAGGGGAGGCGAATTTAGTCTTAGTTTCACCTTTGTGTGTGCCGGTATTTTGTAATCAAATAATAATAATAATAATAATAATAATAATAATAATAATAATAATAATAATAACAACAACAACAACAACAACAACAACAACAACAACAACAATAGAATAGAGAATGGAACGGAATAAATGGAATGGAATGGAATGGAATAGAATAGAATAGAATAGAATAATAGAATAGAATAGAATAGAATAGAATAGAATAGAATAGAATAGAATCATTATTAGCCAAGTGTGATTGAACACACAAGGAATTTGTCTCCGGGTCTGAAGCTCTCAGTGTACCTCCAAACAAGAAAGCAATAGAATCCTAAGATACAATAGGAGAAGGTAATAGGAAAGATGTCATGAAGACCACAGATGAGATCTTGAAGGGGTGAAGGGTGTTTTCTCTCCTTTACAGGAAAGGATCTCTCACCATTTATTCCCCTCTCAGCTCTTAGTGGTCAATCGATATTTTCCTTTCCTGGAATGGGGCTCATCTCATCCACCTAACCTCTGGCCACCCCCTTTCGACTCTTTGCCTGCTTCCATCTTCTCCTGGTAATCAAAGTCACAAGAGACCAAAAGTGAGACTTGAGGGAGAATTGGGGAATTCTTGAAGGGGGTGGGGATCTCCAGTGGGGGGGGGAGTTTTGATAGCCACTCCAGGCGAGCCCTGAACAGCCTCTGGGACCCACAAAGATCTTTGCTTCCTCCACCTCCATCCCTTGCTCCCTTGCTGTCCTCTCGAAATGTTTCTCATCAGGAGGGAGCTGATTGGAGGGTGGCCTTGGGCAGATTCAGGGCAAGGGGGCGGGGATCAAGAGGAGGAGAAACCGGCCCAGCCAGAATGGGAGAAATGAACACGGCTGCCTTTAAGACACCCACAGCATCTCAGGCATTCTTTGCTCTCCACCAGCGGATTGCCAGCCCTCTTCCCTCACCCAGCGTATTTCTCTCTCTCTCTCTCTCTCTCTCTCTCTCTCTCTCTCTCTCTCTCTCTCTCTCTCTCTCTGTGTGTGTGTGTGTGTGTGTGTGTGTGTGTGAGAGAGAGAGAGAGAGAGAGAGAAAGAGAGAGAGACTTGCACTTCCCTGTTATCTCTCTCTCTCTCTCTCTCTCTCTCTCTCTCTCTCTCACTCATACACACACACACAAACCCTCCCTGCCTTCTTCCCCCTGTCGCTCTTTCCCTCCAGCCCCACCTGGAAGGAGTGGGAGGAGGTTTTTTAAAAAGAGAGGGGAGGGGAGGAGATAGGGGGGAGCTCCCTTGTGTTCTTTCAGTTTGGGGACGACCTCTCCCCCCTCCTTTCGCTCAATCTGTGGCAGGACCAGATTCAAATATCTCTCACTTCTTGCCTTCTGTTTCTTGGTTTTCCTCACCGATCCTGTCTCCCCCACCACTTTTGCGGTGAGAATATACTCACGTTTTTTTTCTCTCCCCCTACCCTCCAGAATAGGGCGGAGGGGTAGACTTTTAGTGGCGTCTAGAAAGAGGAATTCTGGGTCTTTCTCACCCACCCACTTGGTCTCCTTCAGGGCTTCATTACCTGACAACTGTAGTGGGGAGGGGGGATGAGCTGAAGTGGCGGCAGCACCACACAGGCCTGGGGGAAAGAATCAGCTGGAGCTGCGCTGTTCCTGGGACTCTGCCCAGGATCGGCGTCCATGGCTGCAGCTGATTGGCACTTCCAGAGGTCTAGTCTAGGGGTGGCCGGCAGCCACACGCAGTCTTCGGGTGGACAGTCCGCTGGAGCTGCGCTGTTCCTGGGGCTCTTCCAGATCGGCGTTCCCAGCAGCCTCTGCTACCACCGCGAGCAACAGACACACCTTGGATGAGCGAGTCAGCTGGAGCTGCCAGGATTTGGCTGGCGCAGCTACAAGCTGATCAGCGCTTCCAGCAAAGAGAAGAGGAGGGGGGGGGAGAGAGAATGGCTTTGCTTGTCAGTGCGCCCCCCCCCTCCAACGCCTTCACGGAGGGCCCAATTCTGGACCGCCTGCCAGCGCCAACGGCCAGCGCCTCCATGGCTGGACAGAAGCCCACCCCTCGGACCCCGGATTGGCTGCCGGGAGGCGCGGCAGCTTGGCCCTTGAGGCGAATCGCTCGAGTGCAACGATCCCAGCGACGGAGGTGGGGGGAAGGCACGGAGGTGGAGGGCTGGGGGTCCCTTGGCGTCGGACAAACGCCGGCAGAGGGTCCCGCGGAGCCTGAACGCCGGCTGCTGTCCAGCGCCTGTGGCTGGAGGGCCGGGGCGAAGGGGGCGCGAGGCGGCGGCGGAGGGGAAAAGTCCTAGATGCTGGTAACTTCCCTCCTCTCTTTCCCCCCCCCTCCCGTCCCCCCCCTTCTTCCCTGCCACCGTTGCCTCGCCCGTCCGGCTCCTCCGTAGAGGGCTCTTCCAGGGTGGAGAACGGACTCGCGGCCGGCCCAGCCGCCGCCCTTGGCGCTCTGCACACGCTCGGGTGCCCCAGCGCCCGCTCCGAGTCCCTTTCGTAGTCAGCGCGTTCAATACCCAGCGGGGCAGAAGCCGCAGCAAAGAAGAAAGAAGAAGAAAGAAGAAAGAAAGAAAGAAAGAAAGAAAGAAAGAAAGAAAGAAAGAAAGAAAGAAAGAAGAAGAAGAAGAAGAAGAAGAAGAAGAAGAAGAAGAAGAAGAAGAAGAAGAAGAAGAAGAAGAAGAAGAAGAAGAAGAAGAAGAAGAAGAAGAAGAAGAAGCGGGGGGGGGGGCAGGTGAAGCCGTCGCCCTCCTCCCGCTCTGGCCCCGCTTGCGCCTGGCCTGGCCCAGCCCAAGTTAACCGCCCCCAGCAAGCTGAGCAGAGTTGCCCCAACCCGTTCCACCTCTCCTGACGCTCCTCCCACCTCTTTTCAGCTTCAGTTATTGTCCCTGCTTCCTCCCCCCCCCCATATGTAATTCTAGGTCTAGACTCTGTCTAGGCAGTCTCCAGGGGCAGCCCTGCCTGGCAGTCTAAGGCTTCTGGGGATTTTCCAGCCCAAGAATCTTTTTTCCAGCTTCTCTTTCCCAAAAATCTCACCTCTGCACAATAAGCCACAATCATTGGTGAGATGGTTTACCTTTTTTGTTGAGCACAGAGGTTAAAGTATTGCATCCACACAAATATCCTTTGACTCTCACTCTCTCCCGCTCCCTGAGTGTCTGGTCACACAGACTCCGTCTATTAGGTAGATACTGCATTATAGAGACGATCTGCAGTGTAAGGAGAAGCAGCTAAACCTCCTGGTGATGCATGGGGAGGGTAATTTTTGGCCTTCAGACATTTGTCAATCACTGGGTCATGACAAATACCTTCAATAGTCTGTAAGTCCTTGCAAGCTCCTACAAGGTTAATTCTTGGGATGCTAAGACAAGTGATCAAGATGATCAATACTATGTCTCCGCTTAGAGGAGGGTTCGAAGCTGATTGGTTGAAATTTACTGGGTGCCTGAGGTTGAACGTTGGCATGTTGATCTGGAGCTGGAAGCATATGGCGTTTTGGTCTCTGTGGCATCAGGCTGTCTGGACAAGCCAAGAACTCAGGACCTTTTAGCCAGATCAATTCTGTCAACTCTGTGGCGAGGTTGGGCCACTTAACTTGGTTCACAAGGGTCTTATCTGTTGGCACATGTTGCCATTGTTCAGGGCTTAGAGATGTTTCAATCTTTTCTACTCTATTGCCTTCATAGACGTAGAAGTGTCTGCTTTGTCTCAACCCCCACCCCACCCCCTCTGAAACCTTAAGGGGATTTGCCACAGGCGAGCCTTTCCTAGAGATTGTGGCTTTGCGACAATAAACGTCCCAAAGAGGAACAGGAAAGAACAGAAGACTATAAGAGGGGGAAGGGGAAGGGGAGGGATGGGAAGGAAGAAGGGAGGAAATGGAAGGGGAAGGGGGAAAGGAAGCAGAAGGAAGGGAGGAAGGGATAAAACGGAAGGGGAGGGAAGGGAGGGGGAAGGGAGGAAAGGGAAGGGGAAGGGGGAAAGGGAGCGGCGGAGTTTGGCGGACACCCAGACTTTGAAGGCAATAGAGTNGGGGGGGGGGGGGGGGGGAAGCATATCCATGAGGCATACAGCCCTGGAGGCTCCGGGAGCGAAGGGCGGGGACAAAGGGGGCGGGGCTTGACGTTTTAAATAGAGGCACACCGGGTGAAGGGCCTCTCAGCCAGGTTTCAGCGCTAACTTAGCCCGGTGGTGGGCAGCGTCTCCCTGGGACCCTCCCTCCCTCCAGGGCCCCGGGAGACTGCAAGGGAGCAGCGCCCTTTTCTCTCTTCTTCGCGGACCCGGCGAATTTTGGCAGAGTTGGACTTTTTTTTCCCCCGACCCCGGACGGCACCCGCACCGGGTGCGGTGCCTCAGGGACTTTTTCCCGAGCGGAGGGGGGCGCCTGGTTGGAGGGCGATGCCGCTGCCCCGGGCGCCCCTTTTGCTCCTGGGAGTCGCGTTGGAGTCCTTCGTGCTGGGGGCTTTGTGCGGTGAGTGTGCGACGGGGAGGGGGCGCCTGTCCTGGGCCGGGTCTTTCTCTCCGCCATCCCCCCCCCCTCAATCCCAAACTCCTTTTCCCAGAAGGAAAAAAAATCTTCCTTCTCTCGTGCTTCAGCCAGCCTCGTTTCAAACCTTCAGTAACGGATTTGTAATCGGCTCCCCTTGTAGAGAACAGAGAGTGAAAGAGAAAAGAGAAATTTCACACTTTGGTTCTGTCTTGTGCTGTCCTGTCCTGTCTTGCTTCTTCCTCCTGCCTGGGCAATGGGCCAGGAGGTCCTGCCATCCAAGCTCCACCCTGATCAACAAATTTTGTCCTTGCTTGGAAAGGTTTCCTCTCTGGGGAGCGATCAGATCTTTCACTTGCTTCTTAACTTCCATGAAAACAGGGCCTCCCTGACTCTTCCCAAATGTGGTCTGGGGTCCCCATGGAGGTCGGGCCTACAAACAGCAGTCTGGGAACCTGGAGGGCCCAGAGGGGGTGCAGGAGTATCTTAGCCAGATGGGGCGACCCACTTGTTGAGGGGCTGCTGTGTGACAATAAAATGTTGGAGGGGATGAAGTTGCAGTGAAGACCCCCCCCCAAATTCTTCTCTTCTCCCTCTTTCCTCTCCAGGCTCTCCCTCACACTCCTTGCGTTATTCCTGCCTGCATCTGCCAGAGCCCAGCCAGGCACTGTCCCAGTTCTCCATTAGGGGCTACCTAGATGACCAGCCCATCACTAGCTTTGACAGCCTCACCAGGAAGATGGAGCCTCTGGTCCCTTGGATGGACGAGGGGGACAAGGAGAACTTTCTGGCCCCTGAGTGGGTCTTCAGGGCTGACCTGGAGAAGTTATCAAAACTGGGCCACCGTGCTGGAGGTGAGCAGAGGCAGTGCCACCTTTGGCCTCCAATGGTTGCAGGGGACTTGAGATTTTCTTTCCTGCAAAGGAAACATACACACAAAAACACACACACCTGGTTTTCTCCCTCACCTAGAAATTCTTCATGGCCTGAGGCCAGCCAAACAGGGTTAATTGAAGTAAAAGATGTTTCTCCTTTTGTGATAAAGAGGGGAAGGAGAAATCTGATTTCTGGGAAGGGGGGAAGACTCTCAGGCTGTCTAGGGAGAGAAATCTTAGACCCTTTTCATTCACACCCACCCCCTCTGCCTCTCCTTCAGGGCTTCACACCTGGCAGGTGTTTTGGGGCTGCGAGCTCATGGAAGACGGGAGCAAAGGAGGGTTTTTGCACTATGGCTACGATGGGATGGACTTCATCAGCTTCGACAAGGAGATCCTCAGATGGGTGGCAGCTCATCCCCAGGCCGAGAAGCTCAAGGAGAAGTGGGAGGATGACCCAAGATGGTCTGAGGGAAACAAAGTCTTCCTGGAGGAGATCTGCATTGAGTGGCTGCAGAGATACCTGTCCTACAGGAACAAGACTCTGCAGAGGATTGGTGAGTGGCAAAAGGGGTCTCCATTGAGCATGTTTCTGTGTTCTCCCCCCTCCCCATATGGTTTTTCTCCTAAACAGCCAAGCCACCTTTTAAAATATTGGCAGAAAAAGATCAGGAAGTATCCAACATCACGTTACAGAAGAAAAACAATCTTCAGTGCCTCCCAAAATAAGTACTTTAAAAAAAAAACTGAGCAAGAAATTCATGCCGAAGGTCTCATTCTATTTTCCCGTGGGAAGTCTTACAAAGCAGAAGAAACGAATGTTTGGGTTGGAAGGAAATGATCAGCCTGTTCCTGATTTCCATCTGAACAACTTGAACAAATTCGATTTGGGGGCTTAAAATTGAATCAGTCCAACAAATTGGGGAATATGTTGGCCAATGTGGAAACATTACCCCAAATTCTATGTATTCCTTTCAAAACATAATGTAAAGAACCCCAATGCCCCATTTTAGGGGCTCCCCCAAGTTGAGGCAAGGAGACGGAGCGGAGGGAGAGGATGGTCCAAGGAGGTCTTGCTATTTAAATCACCTTGCCAGAAACTCTGGAAATCCAGGGAATTGTGTTGTTGCTGTTTCTGCAGAGCCCCCAGTGGGGAAGGTGATCCGCAAGGAGGTGGATGACCGCCTGGAGGTTCTCATCTGCCAGGCCTTTGGCTTCTATCCCAGGGAGATCCAGGCCACCTGGACCAGGGACGGGGAGGTCTGCCAGTACGAGACCCTCCATAGGAACGTGGCCCCCAACTCGGACGGGACCTATTATGTCAGGCTCAGCATTGATATCGACCCGAAGGAGAGGGACCATTTTCAGTGTCGCCTGGAGCACCAGGGCTTGCAGGAGCCCCTGATCTTGGCTTTGGAGGAGGAAACAGGTGAGAGGCTCATGGGATTGTGACATGCAGAAGTAGATTTTTCACCAATGTTTGAAATAGTGGGGGGGAGGGTAGTAATTTTCTTCTGCACCATGTTTTCAGGTGGAGAGCAGGGAATATTAGTCCTACATTTAGCGATGCAAGAGAAGTGATTCCTATCAGGGGAGTTGGAAGTAGTCACTTTACAGCAAAAGTATGAAGAAATGACACATGATAATATAGGAGATGATGTGATATGATGCATAATTGGTTGTGCCCTTCGAGGCCATTGGCTCTTCCCTCTGCAGCTTTGGAGGGGAGGGGCTTCCTTCAGGTGGGGGCACTTCCTGGAGGCCAATGCAGGTTGGGAAATGCTTCCATGGTTCAGCATCTCCACTTCGTGGAACTCAGCATCTGTCTAATCAAAACCACGTTTCTCCTTCTTTAGGCAAAGTGTGGTTGACCTCTGTGGTGATTGTGGCTGCCTCAATCTTGGGACTTGGAATTTTCTTCCTGATATGTAAGTGAAAAAAACACACCCTCCTGTGTCTTTCTGGGTTAACTCAGCTGGTGTGGATGGGAAAGAGCCTCTCTGAGAATTGCAGCCAGGAGCCCCCACAAGACCCTCCCCCACAAACAGCATTTTGAACATGGATCAGGAAGGAAGAAGAAGATATGCAGCCATTTTTCCATTTCCTGCAAATCTCAATACATCCCCCACATTCCTCTTGTCTGGGAGGAAAACTCTTTGGCCTCAATGGACTTTCTTCAGAGGAGCAAATATCAGCAGCTCAGGAGTCCAGGAAAAGTCCCTGAAATGATCTGGGCTGAAAATTCCATAATCCTGTCCCTGAAGGAGATCTACTTGCCATGTCCCCTGGCAAAGGCAAGCTCCGATGGGAGGGGAGGTCCATGGAGGGAGGGGCCCCATGCCCTCTGCCCCTGCTTGCAATCCCACCTGGGGACAGGCAAGAGCAGGGAGGAAGGTCCAGCTGGGGAAGCTCCTGCTGCTTCTTCTGCTCCTACTCAGAGCAAGAGACACAAGAGGGAGGAAGGAGGCAGGACGTGTCTCTTCAGTTGAGTTTCACTATGTGCATCTCAGCACTTCCTTGTCATTTTCTCAGCCAGGATTTGGAAGTGCTTTGCCACTTCCTTCTTCCAGGACGGGTCTTCTCCTCCGATTGGCTTGTGATTCTCTAACCCAGCCAGACCCAGTTTAGCCTTTCAAGATCAGCCAAAAGTTGCTGGTTCTTAGATCTGGCTAGCTTAAGATTAGGTGAAAAAAGTTGTGACAGTTGAATTAAGAACTTCTGAACCCAGAGTATGTGGGGAAACACCATCGTGCCCACAATAAGATTCCAAGAGGTTTAGCATCATTATACTGTTCTCAGATAGGAAATATGCTTCCTTTCCAGTCTTTAACAGATAGATAACTCAGAAGAACACACAGGTTTATTGCTTTTATTCTGGGAATCCTAGACAAGACTTACAGTTTGTAGAGGTTCATCCAAAATAGATGGTAGCAATCTGTCTGTCCCACAGGTAAATTGATATTAGATTTTCCTGGTTCTCCCAA